TCCAGGTAGGGACCGGGGAGGCTTGGGGGTGGGGTGGAGGCCAGTGGGAGGGCCAGCCTGCCGAGGGACATCGGTCACAGGCCTGTCCCACCCCCCCATCCCCATCCCCCAGGAGGAGAGCCTTCACTTGGAAAACCGGCTGGACTTCATGGAGGCTGAGGTGGTGAGGGCAAAACGCGAGCTAGAGGAGCTGCAAGTGGTGAACCAGGAGGCGTTAAACGCCCGGGATATCGCCAAGGTGCCAGCCTGCCAGGCCCTGGGGTTCCTGCCCAGAACGCCGTGGTCTCCTCCTGGCCCCAGAATCTGAACCCCAGCTGTCCCCAAGCTCCTCCGGCCTATCTCCCAGGACCCCGCAACCTGGCCCAGCTGTCTGAAGTTGGGCTGGCTGCTCCGGCCCTGAGCCTCGGTAGGTACCAGCTGGTCCTGCTGTCCTCCCGGCCCTTCCTCCAGAACCAGCTGCAGTATCTGGAGGAGACCGTGTTCGGAGAGCGCAAGAAGCGTGAGCGCTACGTAACCGAGTGCAAGAAGCGCGCGGAAGAGAGGAAGCTGCAGAACGAACGCATGGAGCGCAAGGTGGGCGTACCCAGGGGTGCCGGGGTGCAACTCCAACCCGCCCCAGCCGAGACCTGGCCCTGCCGGTCTGGCCGCACCCCTGCGTCGAGCAATACCCTAGACCTTCCCGGCTCTTAACATTTCTCTGGACTCCGCCCCCACCTCCGCTTGATGCCCAGGGCTGCTCCCCCTTCCCTGACCCCGCCCTCCCGCCATCAGTTTTCCTTGTTTGGAGGAGCCTCCAGACCGCCCCTCACTCACCGGTCATCCCCATTCATCCCCACCTGATGACCACCCCCCACTCCTAAATGTGATCCTGCCTCTAGCCCGCCCCTTACTCGAGGCCACGCCTCCTCCCTTGACCCCGCCTCTTTGTCCTGCCTTGAGGCTGCCCATCGCTGACCAACCCTTTCCTGCTCTCCTGACCCCAAGCCTTTACCCTGGCTCCCCAGGCGGGCCCCGCCCCCTCCTGGCCCCCTGTCCTGCTACCCCTCTCTGGCCTCTACCCTAAATCCTTGCCTGAGAGCTGACTCCCACCCCGACCTCAACCTGTGAGCAGACCCAGCGTGAGCACGTGCTGCTGCAGTACGACGATTCGACCCAGGACAGCCTGTGCGCCAAAGAGGAGCTGAAGCGGCGCTGGAGCATGTACCAGACTGAGATGCTTTTTGGCAAGGTCAAGGACGCCACCGGCGTGGCCGAAACCCACGTGAGTGCTGCCCTCTAGTTCCGCTCAAACTGAGTCCAGGCCAGTGAAGCCAACACACCCAGCCTCCCCTTTCTGCTGGCTCAGTTCCTCAGCACACAAACCTGCTCTATTCGTAGAAGACACTCCTCCCTTCTCCAGTTATTGCCCCGTTTTTCTGCTGCTCCTCACAGCAAAACCCACACGAGCTGTCTACCCTCGCCATCAGTCCCTCTCCTGTTCGCTCTTATGCGGGCGCTAACTTCCTTGGCGTGTCAGCTTTGTGAGAACTGCGAGTTTGGTCTCTCCTGTGTCTCCAGTCCCTGTAACATGGTCTGGGGCACAGTAGACTGCCCAGTGCTGCTCTCAGACCCTGACAAGCCGGGCCCCTGCCCTGGGTCCTGCGCTTTGCAGCATTTTCCTTGCAATTTGCTAAGACCCTCATGTTTCCCGCTGGCAGATACTGATCCCACTGGACCCCAGTCCAGTTTCTCCCCTTTGGGCACTCTCCCACTGCTACTTCTCCCATAGGGTAACCCCGGACTAGTTCTGGGACTCCGGGCTGTGGGGTCATCTGGGGCACTGTGGCCCAGCACCTTTCCCGAAATTGGCCTGGTGGGCAGAGAGCTCCCGAGATTGGCCATATTTCCTCAGTGGATTGGGCGAGATTCACCGTCACAAGGTGGAGGGCAGGTTGATTTCGGAAAGCAACGATGCTCACTGCTACCCTGCACCACATGACGATTTGGGCTGATTGAAATTCCTTATATGGACAAGGGCCCTGCAAAAATTATGTCGGGGGCTGCACATCCTTGAGGCAGCTCTGAGTCTGACTCCCAGAGTCCCTAAACATCATCGCTGCACAGAAGCCAACCAGCTTAGGCCATCTGCCCTGCGTGCCCAGGGGAAAGGAAGAGGGGGTGCACGCAGGCCTGCCCAGGCCTCCCTCTGACTGGGGCTGGGGGGCCTGCAGGCGGTGGTGAGGCGGTTCCTGGCGCAGGGCGACACCTTCACGCATTTGGAGACGCTCAAGAGCGATAACGAGCAGTCGCTGCTCAGGCTGAGGCAAGAGAAGCAGCGGTTGCAGCGCGAGCTGGAAGACCTCAAGTACTCAGGGGAGACCACGATTGTGAGGTGAGGCCCCGGTGCCCAAGGGAGAGACTGCCCCCCACCCCCCACCCCCGCCCGGAGGCCCTCCAGTGGTGACCTCCCCGCTGCCTGTAGTCAGCAGAAGCTGCAAGCTGCGTTGCAGGAGCGCCTTAAGGCGGAAGAGCAGCGGCGCACTGAGGCGCAGGATCAGCTGGAACGTGCCAGGCGGGCGATACAAATGACCAAGGAGGGCCTTGAACACCTGGCCGGCAAGCTGAACCACATCACACTAGTAGGCCTCACCCCCAGGAAGCTCAGCCCAGAGCCTCCCACAGCCCAAGGGGGGTGGGGGGTTCCTGGCCCTACTCAAGGAGACCGACCCTCTGCCCTGTCCAGGATGCCAGAGGCCCGCCGGCACTCCTCTCCACCCCATGTCCCTGCGGGGAAACCCCGTTACTTCTCAAGAGGCTCAGGACTTCAGAGACCCTGTTCCGTCTTCACGGAAATGTCCCACCTTGCCTCCCCACTCCAAACCTCAGAGACTCCACTGCAATACTTGGGCGGCCTGAGACAGGGGGAGCCCCACCCTGGCCGCAGCAGAGTCGCATTTCTTCCGAAAGTCATCCCCGAAATGAGTTATTACGCCCTTTCCCCACTAAAACCCTTGGTTCCACCCAGTGTCCTCTGTCTCTAGAGTTCAGAGGCCCCGCCCCACAAGGGATAGCACCAACCCTGTTGGTGGTCCCTCACCTTCGAAAGCCTAGCTCACGGGACGGGGGGGGGGGGTAAAGTCCCGCCCCCGGTGGAACACGCCCCAGGGGCCCGCCCACTCCGGGATGACTCGGCTCCGCCCCCGCCGCAGGTGGACGGCCGCTTCGCCGGAAAGGTGCTGGATCCCCAGGCAGCTGACTATCTGCCAGACCTGCTGGGCCTCGTGGAGGAAAAGCTTCTGAAGCTGCAGGCACAACTCGAAAGCCACGACGTGCCAGACACGCTGCGCCATCTCGCCGACCAGGAGGTGCCAGTACAGCCAGAGGGCGGGGCTGAGGATGCCGGGGCTGGGGCAGAAAACCGGGGAGCCGGGGCCACCCCTTGGGAGATCAGGGAGGCGGCCTATGGGTGGGAAATGAGCTTTAGGGACAACGTGTGAGGTTTGAGGAGCCAGGAGAGCTTCCAGAGGGTCCGCACGGCCAGTGGGCAGGGCTGGGGAGTGTGTGTGCGCGGGGGTGGGGGGTGGGGGGCGGGGAGAATCAAGGGGCGGGACCCCAGAGATCAGGGGCGGTCTTACGGGTCAAAGGGGCGGGGCTGGGTATCCGGGTGCGCTCTAAGAACGAGTAATTCAGCTGGCCTCGAGAAAAACTAAACTGGAGGAGTGGGCAGAGGTGTCACGTGGAATCAGGGTCTCTCCTAGAATGGGCTAAGGAGGAGGGGATACAGGACTTCCCTGCAGCCTCTACCCCACCCACTCTCTTGTCTCCCGCTCCCTCCCTCCCCCAGTTCTACTCCACCCTGGAGGGGAAACTGCCCGTGCACAACACCCGCATCGCGCTGCCCCTTGCCAGTCTCAAGGACAAGTTCTTCGGTCAGTACGGTCAGGGAGAAGAGGCGGGGCTGGGGGCCCAAGCCAACCGACGGAAAGTGGTCTGAGGCCTGGCGTGGGGCCAATTTGGGGGGTGGGGCCGAGTTCGGGGGGGTGGTAAAGGCTGGGAAGGGAAATCTGAGCCAAGAATGGGAACCCGGATCCCCGCATTGCCCTGCGCAGACGAAGAGGAGAGTGAGGACGAAGACAACGACGTGGTGAGCCGTGCGGCGCTTAAGATTCGTTCCCAGAAATTAATCGAATCCCGCAGCAAGAAACGCAGTCGCTCGAAGAAGACCTAGACTCACCCTTGCGTCCACCTGGCGCTTCCGGGCCCCTGCGGAGCTCCCAACCCCTCTGGGTCCAGCCTCAGGCCCACGGGCCCCTTCAAGGGCTAAACGCAGGCGGGACAACGGAGCAGAACGGGCGGTGGCGCCCGGAGTAGAGAAGGGGGCCGGGCCACCGGATGTTCCCACAGTAAATCTTCCAAGGCGAGCCTGTGCTGGCCTCAGAATCGCGCAATAAAGGTCACCAACCAGCCCCCTGGGTATTTGCCTCTCCTTGACCCTGCACCTCTGCAAAGACAGCTGCCCCTAAAATCCAGGGCCCAGACTCCACCTTCTCTGACCTGGGGAGTAAGGACTCCCCATCAGCTGCGGACACAGATTGAACACCCCCACCTCCAGGATAATAAGAGATACTCCCACACCTGGAGTGAAACAGTCCTCCCCATTTGAGGACAGGGTACTCTTCTCCCCGGGGACGCAGACTGGCCCCGCACTTAGCTACACACACTAGCACACCCCCACCTGGAGACACAGAAAAGAACCCTTCTCGGGGGGAGAGAGGTGTCCTTTCTCCTGGGCACGGATTGATATACGCCTACAGGGAGAGCCGGGACCTCACCTCCGTGGGCCTGGGCTGGGCGCTGGGGTCCCCAGCTGGGGGCATCCGAGAGCCACGGGGCCCGCCCCGCCCCTGCACGGCCCGGTCGCCCCGCCCTGCCCCGCGGGCCCCAACGCCTGGCCACTGCCCGCTGCCCGTTGGCCCTTCCGCCTCACTCAGCCGCGCCGAGGAGCGGGACGGGCACAGGCCATGGATCGGACAGCGGGCAAGGAGCTCGCCCTGGTAAGGGGACCAGGGGTCCCGGACTCCACATCCCTAGCGACCCTGAGGTCCAAAAACCCCAGGTCCCCGCCTTCCGGACCCTATCTCCCCGCAAACCGGACCCTTCATACCGGCCCAGGAGTCCCAACCTTGGGCCTCCTGGCCCCTGCTCCCAGTGAAGTGGCTGATACCTCTTAGGGATGGGGGGGCGTCTCTGAGCTCATCTACGGGAGGGGACAGAGACAGACTCCGTGAGCCTGGACCCTGGGACGTCCCCAAATGCCTCTCCATCCTCTCAGGACCAGGGAGGAGGGTGCCCGCGGCGCCGAGGGGACTGCCCTAGCCCGGGACCCCGCCCCGAGTCTCGCTGAGTCTGACCGGGAAGGGGGGGGATGGTGCTAGAAGGCCCGGCTTGAGTCCGTGCGGGAGCGGGCGGCCGATGTCCCGGGGCCCGTCCCCTCGCGGCTCCCTGAGCCGGTCTCCGCGTCCAGGCGCCGCTGCAAGACTGGGGCGAGGAGACCGAGGACGGAGCGGTGTACAGCGTCTCCCTGCGTCGGCAGCTCAGTCAGCGCTTGAGCCCTGGGGCAGGGCCCGGGGGCAGCCAGGTGAGGCCGGGGTTGGAGGGTGGAGCGGGGCGGGAGGCGACCAGGTGAAGGCGGGGCCGAGTGGAGGGGCCTGGAGGTAAAAAGGCGAGGGCAAAGCCGAGGGGCGGAGCTGAGGCCCGAGGGAAGGGCAGGGCTTACAAGCACCCAGGTAAGGGTCGAAAAGCCCCTGGGGGCGGCCAGGTGAATGGGGGGGGGTCGATGAATGCGGCTGCCCGCGGGCCGCCCGGCTCCGCAGCGGGACCTGGGGACTAAACTGGACCGCAGGGCACAGGTCGGCCGGGTTTAGTGGGGCGGAGCTGGAGGGGAGGGGTGGTCTTTTAGAAGCCGCCGGGTGAGAGCGGCCTGGGGTGGAGGGCTGGGAGCAGCCTGGGACCGGGAGCGGCTAGCGAAGAGCGGCTGGGGAGCTGCGAGCAGCCTGGGAGGGCCGAGTGAGCGAGGGCACGGGGCGGGGCCTGGGGGGGCGACGGTGTCCAGGGCGGATTGCGAGGGTCATTTGGGTATGGAGCATAATCTTGAATCCAGGAGGCGGGGTTCAGGGAAATGGGCAAGATCAGATGCAAGAGCGGTACTTAGCGATGGGCGTGATTGGAAAAGGGGTGCTCTGGGGGCCGCTCCTGGTGTCTCTTTGCCGCCCCCTTGCCCGGCAGGCCCCCAGCCCCGCTGCGGATGCCTTCCTCCATTACCGCACGAGCAAGGTGCGGGCGCTGAGGGCGGCGAGGCTGGAGCAGCTGGTGCGGGAATTGGTGTCTGGAGACCACGAGCAGGACCCGGGCTTCGTGCCTGCCTTCCTGGCCACCCACAGGGCCTTTGTGTCCACCGCCCGTGTGCTGGGCCTTCTCCTGCCACCACCACCACCGCCCCTGCCTCCAGGGTCAGTACCGACGGGAAATCTCCGTGTTCCCACCCCCAGACTCTCACCTGGGTGCTCGATCAGGCATTCCCTTCCCCTAAGCAGCCCCCTAGCCTCCCTCTTCATCTGATGGGGGAGTTGCTTTTCCCAGGATAGAGATCAGGAAGACAGAGGGAGAAGGTCTGCGTGTCAACAAGAATTTAAGGTTGGTCTCCCATAGGTGAGGGTGGGGGTCCTAGAGGTCCAAGGTCATGTCCGAGGTGTAAGGGCTCCCAAGGTCCAGAGCTCGGGGCTGGTCTCTGAGCCGCCCCCCCCCAACTCTGGCCAGGGCTGTGGTGTCCGTGCTGGGCTCCTGGCTGCGGGATCACCCTCAGGATTTCCGGGATCCCCCTGCCCACTCGGACCTAGGCAGCGTCCGCACCTTTCTGGGCTGGGCGGCCCCAGCAGGGCCTGAGGCCCAGGAAGCAGAGAAGCTGCTGGGAGATTTCCTGGAGGAGGCTGAGCAAAAGCAGGAAGAGGAGCCGCCTGAGGCATGGGCAGGTGAGGGGCAGGGGGCCTGGAGCAGGCCTTTCCCTGCCTGATCTGTCCTCCAGGGGCCTTCTCCCCTCACAGAGTGACAGATCTTGGGCACAGTTCTTAACCCCGTCTGAGCCTTAGTTTCCCCACCAGTATAATGGGGGTATTGACCCTTTGTCTAACATAATTTGTCTCACACTCCCCCCTACACCTCCATCCTACCTACAAAAATACTCTGCCATTGGGTCAGGACGCCCTATGTTTCTAGCTACAACTCATTCCATTGCTACTTACCTTAGGAGCCACAGAGACCTGGGTTCAAATCCCAGTTCTGCCATTTGCTGACTGTGTGACCTTGGATAAGTCACTTCCCTCTCTGAGCCTCTGTTTCCTTATCTGTGAATTGGGGGTGATAATAGTATTTCCCTCATTGACCTCTCTCTTTATTCATTCAACAAATAGCTACTGGCTCTTGGCATATAACTGGACAGGAGCTCCCAGTTCCCTAGGGAAGACAACAGTAAACCAGTAAATAAGAAAACAATGAGGGCTTGGCGAACAGTATTATTTTCATCATTGTTGTTATCACTGGTTCTTACTTATTCGAATCTACCACTTAAAGTGAAAAGACATAAGAACCCATACTGATATTTTCCTGTAGAGTAAAGTATCAGCAAACTATCTGGTCCTCTATAGAGTTTGCCAACCTCTGTTGTAGAGAGCTTTTGGGGAGAGGGAAAAATATCTACGTACTTCATTCAGGTCTTTGTTCAACTTGTCCCTTTCTCTGATCTCCAAACAAATATGTCCACCCACTCTGCATCCTTACCTGCCTTATTTTTCTGCCTAGCACTTATTGGGCTTGTCCCTGACTGTCCCCAGAGGCAGGAACAACCAAGATTTGTTGATTGAATAATTGCATCCTGCTTATAAGGTATCATCTTTCATCCATCGTGTTTGATCTGATCCCGATCTCAAAAGCCTCAAAGTCCCTAATCCCTGTCCTTTATTCCTCAGATTAAAGTGGCCACATTCCTCTCTGCTTTACAAAGTAGCAGGCAGCCACTTCTTTCTCCCTGGTGACAAAAATCTCAGTTATTTGTATATATTTTATCCCTCCGTCTTCCCCCTTGGTTTTTAATGTTCTTTCTTCCTCTGCCTGCAGGATTTCACCAGCTGAGGCCAAGTCACTAAAGCCACGCAGTCCCATGGGGTAGCTGCTATAGCTGCATTATTGAAATTGAACTTAAAATAAACATTTCAGTTCCTTGGTCACACTAGCCACATTTCTAGTGCTCAGTAGCCACATTGGACGGCACGGGTAGAAAATATTTCCACCATTGTAGAAAATTTTGTCAAAAGTACCACCCTAGGATATGAGTTCTTGAGGTCAGAGGAGTACATGAACATTCACTAGACACTACTGTGTGCCCTGCTCTGGAATATACTTCCATTTTAACATCTTTATTTTGGGATTACTTTTTACTATGAAAAATTGCAGACATACAGAAAAGTAGAGAGAATAAAGAATATTCAGACACCCATTGCTCATATTCAACAATTATGAATTTGACACAAAAAATTTTTTTCAGGATGATTTGAAGACAAATCCCCAACTTACGTCACTTCACACGTAAATACTTTGCTACCCACCTTAATTAACAACTTTTTTTTAGGATTTTTCTTTTAACATAACCGCGTGTGCACAACCATTTCCAAAAAATCAGCAATAATTGCTTAATATAAAAAATTACCCAGTCCTGGAGTGCCTGGGTGGCTCAGTGAGTTAAGCATCCAACTCTTGATTTTGGCTCAGGTCGTGATCTCAGGGTCATGAGATCGAGCCCCGAGTCAGGCTCTGCATGCTGGGTGTGGAGCCTACTTAAGATTCTCTCTCTCTCCCTCTCCCTCTGCCCCTCTCCACCCTGCTCTCTCTCAAAAGAACAAAAACAAAAAAACCCAAAACCCAATCCAAATTCAAATCCCCCCATTGTCCCTAAATTGTCTTTTTTTACAGTTGTTTCTTCGAAATCCAAACATCTACTCAAGGCACTTGGTCTTTCATTTCTTAGGTCTCTTTTATTCTATCACAGTCTCCCTTTGTCTTTTGTTTAATGTCATTAACGGGGAAAAAATGGATCATTTGTCCCGAGGAGTGTCTCGCCTTCTCCATTTACCTGTTTGCTGTCTCATGGCGACATGTTTCATGTTGGTGAACAACACTCGTAATTTCCAAACAAAACAGAGTCCAGACTTTGGCAGTTCTTGCATTCCTGGAGCCAAACTAATGAGTGTTTATGAGCAAGATAGTTGGGTTCTAGGTGCAGATTATGGTAAACAGGTTTTTCAAGGACACAAGTGTCTTGGAGGGACGCTTGGAGGCTGAGCGAGGCACAAATTCACTGTGCAGGTCGGCCCCCTTGTGGCAGATTTCAACTTCAAAATGTCCCCTAGGGGGCGCCACCATAGAATCCCACTACGGAAAAATCATTCCTATTATTGAGTACTTTATAACTGTCTAGTATGTATGATCTCTGATTTTTTTAAAAATCCAGATGAAGAAATCAAGGCACACAGTGGTCAAAGAGTTTGCTTTAGTTCACATAGCAAGCCCGGGGGATAAGTTTGGATTTGAACTTGGGACTGACAATAGCCTTCCCTTAACTACAAAGTTATACCACCTCTCCCCACAACAATAGGGCAGACAGATCTTACTTTAATATAGGTTCAAGACCAAAAACACCTCATTTCTCCTCTAGCCTTTAAGCACCTGGTTTCAAATCCCTGCCCTGCCATTTCCTGAAGGTGTGACTTAGCGTAAATTGTTCCTGCCTTAGTTTCCCCATCCGTGGGAGGTGGATAATAGTACCTCCCTCACTGGGTTAGTGTGCTAAATCACCTAGGGTGGATTATCACCTTAGGTGCTAAATGAACATTACCATTGCTCTGACACCCTTAAAAATACCCGGGGAGCTTCGGTTTTGCAGATTAGGAAAGTGAGACTCAGAGACTCTAAGGAACCTGTCCAAGGTCACACAGCCAGTCCTGGATTCAAACTTGAGAGTTTTTACCCCCCTCTAATACTCCCTCAGGACCTCCTGGAGCTACCCAGACCCCCCGCCCAGACTCCCCGGAAGGCTGCTCAGAAGAGGAAGAAGCACTGGTGCGGGAAGGCCCTGAGCTCCTAGACTTCACTGTAGATGAAGTGGCCGAACAGCTGACGCTGTTGGACGCGGTGAGCACCGGGGCGGGGCGCGGTTGTGGGGCAGATTCCGCCGAGCACAATCCTACCCACCTCCCCACCCTCCCCACTTCCCTCCACCCAGGACCTCTTTTCGCGCGTGCGGCCCTGCGAGTGCCTGGGCTCCGTGTGGTCACAGCGGGACCGTCCAGGGGCCACGAGCGCTGCCCCCACGGTGCGCGCCACCGTGACCCAGTTCAACATGGTGATCGGTTGCGTGCTGGGCTCCGTGCTGGGAGAGCAGGGCCTGGCCGCCCCACAGAGGGCGCAGCGGCTGGAGAAGTGGATCCGCGTCGCCCAGGTGCGCCTCCGCGGGGAAGGGGACGTGAGGGCGGGGCATGGCGGTGGGGACGGGGCCTGGTGCGAGGCAGGAGACAGGAGGCGGAAGGCAGAAGACAAGGGTCTGGGAATGAGGGGAGGATTGGGGTTAGGAGGTGCCCCTAAGGGAAAGCCTAGGAGGGGCTCAGGGCTGGGGGCGAGGCTGCTGAGGGACCCTGGGTGGGTCTAGGGATAGGAGGATGGGATGGGGGATGGGGGTAATGGGG